ATGTATATATATATATATATATATACATGTGTGAGTGTTACAATCAAGCCATTTCATTACTTTAATTTGTTTTATTATTTACAAGTGTTTTTGGCTGCAGGATACTTATATTGTTCTGACCAACTTTGAGAGTTCTTCTTTTAAAATTATTACGCTGGGTTAGAATTAGTATTGAATTTTTTGCTATTTTAGCTCTCTATGCTTCAATACCTAGACCACGTTTTCCTTTTGTAGGTTCTCTGTTTTTTTTTGTAAAGGTGAGGATCTTATTTTAAAGAAGAAAATACTTATAAGTCAAAGACACAAAAAACTACTCTCCTAGAGACAAATTGACAACTTACCGAGAGAAAATTTACAACTCAACCCAACAACATAATAAAAATTACAGCCTATGAACGAATGACCGGACAAACCACAATAGAGACTACACACGAGCTCAAAGAGAAAGCTCAAATAAAGAAACACATCGAGCTCAGAAACAACAACCTTTCTAACAGCAGCTACAGCTGAGCTAAAACATCAATAAGAAGGAGAACAATCACAAGTTAGCAACAATAAATTGCACCAAGTAGTCTTCAAGGATGCCAAATTTAACTAAGACTGAGTGCAGTTTCCATCAACAACACCATTCTAGCAATGAGCATGTACCACATCTACCACAGAGAAAAACCACCGAGCAAACATTTCCACTGCAAACAATAACAAATGAGAATGAGAGCATCCTCCATCATCAGCAACAATCCACCATTCAAAAACCAACAAACAAACAGCTCCACAACCCAAAATCTGTCAATGAGAAGAACCATTAAACAAATAGCTCCATAGCTAACAACAACAAATGAGAATTAGAGCATTCTACACCAGCAGCAACAATCCATCATTCAACTACCACCAAACAAACAACTCCACAACTAACAACAACAATAGAAGAACCTACAGAAAACAAGAATTAACACAAAACTCCAAAATCAAGAGCAAAGTCAAAAAAACCAAAAAATGATAAAAATAAAGAAGCTCAGATAAAACAAAGAAGAACAACAACCCAAACAACCACCATAAAGGAGAACAAGCAAAACAACAGCTAAATCAACTAATAAAAAATACTGAAAAGCCTAAAAATCAAAATAAACAAAAGAAAAGCAAAGACTTGACTAAAACTAAAAAGGTCAAAAAATAAGTATAATGAGCAATTGTAATATCCAAAGTAATAAAATTTAAATTTTTACATAAACATTGTAATATTTCACTTATGTATATAAAATTTTAAAAGTTAACATTAAGATTTTAAAATGTTAATTTATTTATTGTTCAAATTTAATTTTTTTAAATAATATTAAATAAAAAAATCTATACTAAGATGCTTCAAATTTAGGCCTTCAAAAAAGAAATCCTGCTGCTATGGTATTTTTCTTAAACATTTCTAAATCATAAGCTGTTCTTCTCTCGTATTTGATATTCAATATTGACCATTCATTTAGCAAGGAAGATTTGCATGCATAATTCTTATCTATTTACACATCTAACATGCACTTAAACTTTCATATTTACATGCATATAACTTAAATCATTAAAATCATATCAAAAGTAACATTTTAAGTGAAATGCACCTCACCAAGTGTTATGACTGTAAATATTGAAGTTTAGGTGTTAGATATCTAAATGCCTAAGAATTGTGTGGTATGTAAATTTTCCAATAATCTAATTTCATTTCTGCATGTAAATTCAGAAAAATTTAATCATCATTTATACAGATTTTCTATCTAAAATAACATTTGTCTCAAACAATTCTTTGAATTCCGTGCTTCAGAAATAATTGTTTTCTTCCATTATCTACATGATGAAGTCTTCAAAATGCCAGGCAGGCTTGATCATCATTTGCTCTTTTACGATGTTTACATAAAGGAGAAAAAACATTGTTGAATAATTAGATAAGAAAAATAAATTAAGAAACTAGACAATAAAAAAGATAAAGTAAGTACTTGTCGATTCTGAGTAGTTTTTCACTTCTTGTTTTATTTTATGAAAGTGTCAAGCTTTTTCGAAGCCTGAACTGTTGGAATGAAGAAGCTTTTTGGATATTACAAAAGTTAAAAAAAAAAAACAAAACTTATGAAAGAAACTTCACTCTTATTTATCACATTTACTTGGCTTGATACAAACTCAAAGACTCTACCTCTATTTATACTAGTGACACCTCCTAAATTAATGGCTAGGATTGTGCCACCACAATTCCAATCCAATGGTTACAAATAATTTCATATCTACCACACAATAATTCCACACCTACCACACCTACCAAACCTACCCCACAATAATTTCATACCTACCACATATTCTAGAATAAGCTTCTAGAAATTAAGCTTTATTTAAACAACTAAAGCTAAGTTTATATTTCAACATGAACATCCAGACAATATTTCTGTCCTTGGAATACCATTGATTTGATCAGGGTATTTACATACATACCTCCTAACTCTTATGTATTTCTGTATCAAAAACATAAACTTTATTTTTTTATCTTAATACCATGTAAATTTTCAAATCACATAAAAAATGCGATTATTCTAACATTTAAGAAGTGAAATGCACATTGTCATGTAAATGCAGAGGTAAGTTAGTAAATACGTAAAATTTGAGGTTTAGGGATTAGAGATGTAATGTTCCTTATTAAAGTTATGGTTAATCTTAAATATGAAATAGGAGTTAGGAAAAGGTTTGGATTTATTGATGTTAAGGAAAAATGCCATAGCTGCCGGATTTATTTCTTGATGGCCTAAATTTATAGCAGATAAATCTAAATTTTTTACTTAATATTCATTAAGAAGCCCTTATTTTATGTATTTACTAGAATAAGCACTATTAATGATATGTTATCCAAAAGCTATCCTGTCAAGAATGAATTTCAATGAAGTTATGAGTTGAAAATTTTTGAAAGTAAATTCATGATTGTCTGAATCCTAATTTCAGCAAAATTTACAGTTTAAAAAAGTATTTCAATAAGGGAAATCAAATAAACTCATGATTACTATCCTCTACGAACAATCGAAGGCTATTTTTTTACATTCAGAAGAATCAGCATGGCCTTTTGATAGAGTTTTTATTTTTATTTATTTTTTAATTATTGATAACATTACAAAGTTTCCCATCAAAAAATTATATATAGAACATCATTCTCCGTATGAAAGAAATTTTGAACTAACATTACAGGAATTAAGCAAATTTGCATCGAGCGGCCAAATCTGGCTTAAATCGAGGACAAATCCGATGATATTTTTGATTTATCCTCGGATTTGGATCAGATTTGCGTCTGATTTACGTCCGATTTTTTCGATGGTAAATCAGGGGTCGGTAATGTTAATTCCGTCAATTTTGAGTCAAAATATTCCGACGCAAATAATTTTTGCAAGTTTTTGTATTGTATTAGCTTCAAATTTGTTTAGTCGACATATGCATTGTCTTTTGCATCTGAAAAAAACAGAAAAAAATGAATATCGTCAGATTATCATCAAATTTGCTGTGGATAATATCAATAAACGACGGAACATTACTGTCAATTTAGCGTCGGATTTTCAACTCAAAGTGAACACAAATCTGACGCAAACCATTACCACAGAAAAAGAAAAAACATTTTAGAATATCAATTAACATTTCCACAAATTGCACATAACATATATTCTACATCATATATCACATTATATCAAACCACTTTATAGATCAAAGCTCTAAAAAATATCATTAATGAAAAAGAAGATACTATCACAAATCGTCGCAAATAAGAATAGTAAAGTTAACAAAAAATTTTACAACAAATATTCAAAATAATGATTACAAAGAAAAGAAAACATAAAAATAAACTCCACATTGTCCTCCTCTTTCTACTTCTCTTCCTCCCCCTCTTTCTCCTCCTCTACGGATGTCAATGACTACTTGCCCCGTCGATCTGCTAAATTTTCCACCATACGCGCTACATTGTCCTTAATCCTTTTATTGGCTTTCTTGAATCTGCTTGTGCAATTGGTGGATCTCTTCATTCATTACAACCACCTGCCATGCAAGAGCATCCTGGTTTGGCTACGGGGAGCTCAAGAAACTCAGTACGGGACCACATAAAAGCTTACACTCAAAGGCTATGCCCTTCGCTCCAACCCTCCCATTCTTCTTCACCGTCACTTAAGTGCAAAGCTTGTACTCGAACAACGCAGTGGTGGACTGACTACCACTACTGCTAGCGAAAGTTTGGGCTTGAGTGGCCAAGTGCCTCTCCCGGAGCTGCTTAAAATTTCTTCTGCAAAATAAAAACAGGTGCTTATTTGACACTTGCAACAGTTAGAGTCAAAATAAATTTTTAATTTAACATTTTTAGTGCAATCTTCGGGTGTTGATGAGTGTGGACATGCAGCTCCACAATGGAGGGAGCACAACTCAACTCCTTGACTTGTGCATCTTACAAATTGGTTAGCACTACAAAATTACTTCCAATATTGAATTAATTAATTGCTTAAAGGAATCTTACCAACCTCCTAAAGTGCTCTGTATGGAGGATTGATATGCCAATATGAAGCACAGCTCCCCTGACACCCATGGTCACTTGGTTCACCCAGTTCGCTCGCTTTGCCCGGTTTGTCTGTCTCTTTCTCTCATAATCAGTAGAGGCCCAGGATTTTGTTAACTAATCCCAGAGGTCCTCATACATCGAAGAAGGCTGCTTATCCCTTTGACCGACTATCTCGAACATGTCTCCAACTCGATGCATACCCCGAACCTTGAAGATTTGGAGAATTTGAAGGTGATGCTCTTGAAGTAAGGTGAAGAACCTCTGCAACATAAAAAATAATTCATGTGTTAGTATAAAAATTAAATCAAATTTACAAAACTTTCAAATTACATGATCGTTCCTCAAACTCCTTAAACCAGAAGTTCCGAGTGGCTATAGTGATCTACTTCCATGAGAGATAGGACAAATCACATCAATTCCTGATAATTTATGTGCTGTAGGTGATGTGCATCTTCTGAGGAATGAACCTACTTAAGAAACAAATCAATTACAAAAAAATACAACTTGAAGATAAAGAAAATATAGTGTTAAAAATAACTCACGAGTCCCCCTCTGACAGTAAATGTACCTTCAAGGATGATGGAAGCGGGTTCGGGAGTAAGTGTTACGCGGGTGTAGCAGTAGTAGGTCCGGGAACAGTAGTGGAAGCAGTGGAAGAAGTAGGTGACCTCTTCTTCCTGCTATGGTAGGTGGTCTCTAATGTCCCCAAAACATGGGGGTCTCTGAGGTGGCTAACCAGCTATACCACTTGTGTTCATCTATAAACAAAAGAATGACCTTAATAAATTAGTATTGGTAAGAAAAATAATTACAAGAAGAGAGAAACTTCATCTATAAACAAAAGAATGACCTTAATAAATTAAGAAAAATAATTACAAGAAGAGAGAAACTGTGCAGTAAAGGTAAGACATAAGTAGCAGGTATGTCCAAAAATAGAAAAAGTGAGTAATAAGCTATACCTCAAAAACAAAAGTAAGAGATAAAATGTAATAGTAGTAACCACTAATCTAAAATTACATACCTTTGTTATAAAGTTTCATCAGAGGAACTAGTCGTTGAAGATGAACCTAATTTTTTTATTCACTCTCATCATCATCCTCATCCATACCATAAGTAAGCTCTTCAAAAAATCCCCATGATATCGTCTAGCACTAACATTTCCTCATTTGTGCCTCCCTAAATAAAAAAAATTCTGACATACCTTTCTTCTAGTGAATTGGTTGTGTAGTATTATCCAACTCAATAGTTTTCCTTGTTTTATTATTCATAAATAATCACCGCTTGCAACCAATATCATTTCTCTATCCCGAACACCATCTCCCAATTGTCATCCTAAGATACTATTGTTTGATTATCATTATTAGGCTATCATCTCCCAATTATTTTCATCCAAAATTCATCATTTAACCGACATTTTTTTATCATTATCATCCCTTTCCATTGCTCATGTTATATTCTTTGCTACAATCATCAAAAGCTAAGTTAGTATTGCATAATTTTTAATTTCTACCATCACCACTTGAATAAAAAAATGTAGTTAGGTATCCTCATTAACAAAAAGGATTATTTTAATAGTGCCTGACTCTTTGAATTCTTTTTTTGCTTAGAAAATTTTTAACATAAAAATTTACTACCTTCATTTATTTACGTACGTGCTAAATTTTGGTAAAAAGTAAGATTAAACATTTTATACTATCTGTTTTTGGTTCTTTTTAATGATAATTAGAGTCATCAGCTTATCTATTTATATGTTATCATATGATTTATTTTTTCTAAGTAACTCTCTCTCTCTAATCATCAAAAATGATCCGAAGAAGAAAGGAATATGAAAGACCAGAATATACGATGAAAATTGACAAAAAAAAGTGAAAAAGAAACATGGAAGACTTATATAAGAAATACTCTTATGTGATATGTGAGAGTGTGCATCCAAAGGAGTTCAAATCATAGCACCTTGAATCACGTATCCATAAAAAATTCTCTGTATAAGCCCTTCTTATAACCAAAGAACCAAAATCATATATTTGTTTTGGGGGCAAGAGTAACCCCAAAGTAAAATATTCCTTTGATTAATTACATCTTTGGGGGGAACTCAAGATAACTCTCAATAATAGAGGTTCTGCTTACATTATCATGAAAACTAATAAAAGGGTGTCACAAAGAAATTGTTAACTCAAATAGCTATATCAATGTTTTCAAGAGTATATACCGAGCCATAAGGTATAGGGTGAATCACAATATTCACTATAAGTGGTTGCCTATCAATAAATGAGTCCTATAAAATAATCAAGTTATCAATTAGAGTCTTCACCATGCTTCTGGGTCTAATCGGGCCATAAGGGTAGAGGGTGAATCACCGTATCCCAAACAGGCGGTGGCTTGTAGGCACTCGGGGCTCAAAAGGTGACATCAATGAGGTATCAAGAGATTGATAGAGCTCATAGGGCTATATCAATAAAATGATAGAAATCCCTAAATAGGTACAAGTAGTCGGGAAATGATACCACAGATCCATCATCCCGAGCTATGAAGAACCTAAGTCTACATGGTTGATAAGGTACTCGACCTAACCCAACTATAGCTCCCTCATTAGTAACCCATGTGTTATGTCGTCCAAGAAAAATCCAGTAGCCCTAAGGTAAAGAGATGGTAACTTTAAATCCTATGGCGATGAAGCCCCTAGAAAGGAAAGAGAAAATAAGTCCAGCTACAAGCTGACAACGCTGCCACAAAGAACTTGTTGACCTCACTTTTGTTGAGGGCTAGTCTTTCTTCCTTAGAAGCCTAGGATCTAGCCATAGGACTTTCTTGTTGACTTTTCTAGAGGACTAGTAGTGGAACCCTATCCCATTAGAAATTCTAAACACTTATTTAGTCTTGTTGGAGTTTCACATGTTTGGTTTCGACCTCTAACATTTAGTAGAATGAAACCAACATGGGGGAGCTTAAGAGGAGTCCCCATAGGACTGTCTGGCCTTAGGGTTAACTCTGGGTGGTGTGATCTTTGTCAGTCTTGCACACACACACAATTGAATCCCTCACCTTCACTCACAACCTAAACCCTTAACCAAACATGCTTAATCTGATCCCCTGCTCCTTCCTAAACTCATGTGAGTGGCCCCCCAAACCCTTAGATTTTTTTCCTTCCTTTTAGTTTTTCGAGAATATTCTTTTCCATGGCTAAAAGGATGTGGCTCATTTATACTTAAGATGGTAGTGCATGATATTAACTTGTTGATCTTTCATCCATTACCATCCCATCATTATGAAAAATGAAGCTCTCTTCATCTAGAGAATGTTGTTTCATAAGTGAATGGTTGAAATCCCCACATTTGTCTTTCAATGGATTAAAAGGTGTACATCTGATCATTTTTTTTATTAAACACGAGATTGTAATTTAACAAATATTATTCTTACATTACATTCTTTTCCACAAAATAAGGCTTAATATTCCTGATACATTTTCTACCAAAAAAAAGTTGATAACTTTACTTTCTTCGCAGCTATAAACATTATCTTAGTTGTTGCTTGGACACCCATGAATGTGCTCCGACCTACTTGAAAACACAATCTCTGTAGATTTTTCTGCAAAATAATATACAACCTTTTCTAGTCATCATATGCATTAAATACACTATAATCGACCAAATATAACGAGAAATGTATAAAACTTATACCTCCACTATTATTTGAAACTACACTAATGTCCACATCATCATTTAAGAAAACTTCATTTATAGTGCCAACATCAAAAATTGATGAGCTCTGTTGCTTGTTGTCTCCATTAAATTGTGAAGGATAAAGGTGGAAGAAATAAAGCGTTGTTGCTGAAACAGCACCAATTATAGGTGCTATCAAGTAGATCCAAATCTTGTGAAAATTCCATACTACGATTGCTGGGCCAAGTGATCTTGCTGGATTCATTGAAGCTCCAGTAACTTTTCTGTAATTTTCATTCATATATAAATAAATATAGAAGATCAAAAGAAAAAAAAAAACTCATATATAAAGGTACTATATGCTTGATATAACTTTATTTACGCACCCAACAACCAAGGCAAGAGAGAAGACAGTAATTCCAACAGCCACTCCACCGAGCTCTTTAAACTAAAAAAATATCAAGTATCAATAATCAAATGAAATACTACTAATACTACAATGCATGTTATTAGAACAAAATTCAAGACAATCATTATCAGGAGCAGAACCAGTCTCTTTTTTGATGGTGGGACAAACTGTCATCCTAAACCCAAAATGAGAGGATAGGACAATAAGGGCGAAGTAATAATTAGAACAAAATTCAAGACAATCATTATCAGGAGCAAAACCAGTCTCTTTTTTGATGGGGGACAAACTGTCATCCTAGACCCAAAATGGGAGAGGATAGGACAATAAGGGCAAAGTAATATAGGATAGGACAATAAGGGCGAAGTAATAAGTTTGGAAGTGTAAAACTGATATTTGGTGAGGGAAAAAAAAGACTAAATTATCCTCCAATATTAAAAAAAAGTATGAATTTGAGGGGAATAATTGCCCCACGTAAGCCCCACATGGGTCCGCTCCTAACCGTTATCAAACTAGTTAAGAACATATATATATTAAACTTAATATTGGAAAAATAGAGGAAATTATGTGAACATACCCCTCTTGAATCCATTCTGGAACTACAATTATTCAAGGCATAGATGAAAGTGATGATGACCTCCAAAACTAACACCTTAAGATCACTTGCAGGATTCAGCTCAGCCGGTTGGGTTAGCATCAACTCCGGACTTTCCCCATCAAAAATCCATTTTAATGTTAAGCTCGCCATTATGGATCCTACAAACTCGCCCAAAAAATAAAACGGAACCTTCAAACAAATGAAACATATAAGTAATCATACAAATATATGAACCAACAATTTAATCAGACAAGTACAGATTGACTTATAAACCTGCTTCCATGGGAATTGGCCGACAACAGCATAAGCGAATGTGATAGCCGGATTGATGTGAGCGCCTGATATGTGTCCATACGTGTATATATTCGCCGTAACCATTCCACCCAATGCAAGACAGACGCCTATAAACGTGACTTCGCCTCGCTTTTCCATATAAAGCGACGCACATCCAACGAACGTAAATGTGTACGTTGCCAGAAATACTGAAACCACCTGTTCATTATTCTCAAAGTTAGGAGATGGATTTATGAAGTAAATATTAATTCTTAGTGCTTCAACACAGAAAGAGATAAAGAGAAAGAGAAAGAGATTTTCCTTTTGGATTTCTCTAAGAAGACCCATATTGAGCTTTTCTTCCGAAACGACAACCCGGAGCTTGGAAGAACTAGCTTTCTAGTAATGTGAACCATGATAAATAAACATATATATTTATATATATGTGTTAAAAGTTGATATATTCACTAAAGTTATTTGGTGGGATGGTTCTTGTTATGATCAAACCATGAAAACTGTAATTTATTATTATTATTATTATTATTACTCGCTAATGAAGTAGAGTATTGACCGTTGGTATGTACATTATACGTATCTTTATGGAGGTTAGTATTAGTAGGTATAGCATCAATGGACTTTCCATGTCATTTTATAGGATTTAGTGTCCCAAGGAAAATATTTGTTACTATAATTATTGTTTAAGAGATTAAAAGCTTAAAAAATCATTATAATCAAGTGTGAGTCCAACACTTCAGCTCATATTTTTCCATAAACATGCTGAAGGTTTGGCGGGTGAATCATGGCGTACGTAAGTTTTACATGTTAATTGTCTTATTGATTCACAGAAATAAAATGACTTAACTATATGGGTAATTAATAAGCATTTTATTTGATTCAAATGCAGTTAACATTTTCTTATTATTATTTTTTTCTTTGTTCTGTTGTTTTATAAAACTTATTTTAGATTTTTATCAAAGAATGACTACAGCGCATAAATAAAATGACAATTTCTAATTTTATTTCAGATAAATAATAATTTCTTCTGAAATTTTAAAAAGGAAAAATGACATCAAATGAAGCCCTACACATAAAAATGTAATATATGTCTATATCTATATATCTATATCTAGAGAGCAATTAAATTTGGTCTTGCCTCTGCCTCTAGTTTTAGGGAAGTAGCAAGCTATATATATATATCTACGCAATTAAATTTGGTCTTGCCTCTGCCTCTAGTTTTAGGGAAGTAGCAAGCTATATATATATATCTACATATATATATATATATAACTTGCTCCTTCCTAGAACTAGAGGCAGAGGCAACATCAAATTTAATCTCTCTCTAACCACCTGATACTATATATTTCAACACTGTTAGATTTTTCTAGTATATAATGTATTTTCTGTTTTTTCTAGTTTTACCATATTTACCAAATATTTAAATAAGTAGAGGTTTGTGGAACTTTCTTTATTGATATAATAGTTTTGGGTATTTTGTAACCTTAAAGATGGAATATGAGAAGGTAATTTAAATAAAAGCGTGTTAATAATAACAAAAAAGGTCAGTAAACAAATGATACATTCGCAACAAAGCAAGATTCACAGCTAATCAACTAAGAACAACTTTAATCATATTTATTTTTTAATAACGACGGAAAAGTTCATTTATAATAGTATACTTCATCTTGAGATGCTTTTAATAAAAAAAAAAATAATATAAAATCTATATTTTATATTATATATTTCTAAAATATGACATCATTACTATGGCATATTTTGTCTTACTTTTTGCAATTATTAAATGTTATTGTGTTTGTGTTGTGTCGTGATTGTTGTTGTGAATATGAAACTTTTTGCAATTATTAAATGTTATTGTGTTTGTGTTGTGTCGTGATGGTTGTTGTGAATATGAAAACCGGTCCACTGTTCAAAGTGTTCTTAATTTCTTCCCTAAATTTTCTACAACTTTCCTTGCATGAATCTCGTCATCTATGATTTGTTGCAGAAGAGAAAAGAAAATAATTAATGGGTTTCATTAATTATTTGATTAATTCATAAATGAGCGTAATAGCTTAATGAAATTAATAAATAGGCATGCAAAAACTCCCCTTGTAATCTCTCTCGAGCGTTGGTTTTTTCGGGAAAGGAATCACATGCTACAGCTTTCTGTGTTGGTTTGGTGCTCTACCTAAGAGAAGAAAGAAATCGCAAGCTGCTGCCTTTTTTGCTTCTTCTTCCGTGCAACTTCCAGGTAGAGAGAGAAGGGAGAGAGAGAGGGGAAGAGAGAGAGAGAGAGAGAGAGAGAGAGAAATATTTTCTTGTAATTGTCGAGGTGATCGACGTGTGTAATCCTCATGTTAATAAAATTTTCTGCAACTTCGTGGACGTAGGCAATTTGTCAAACAACGTAAATCTGTGTGTTCTGGTGTGTTTTTTGATTTGTGAATTTCTCGTTCCTGTTTTTCATTTTTTGTCTTTGTTTTTCACAACAACTGGTATCAGAGCCTTGGTTTAGATTTGACAAAGAACGATTGCTGGAAATGCAGTGATGACATCAGAGATCGAGAAGTTTAATTGCAAAGATATTGGTTACTAAAGGATGCAGATAGAAGACTCTCTATGTGAAGAAGTTTCATCTTCCGTGATTGGGAAAGCGACCAGAGAAGATGGATGGGGATGAATGGAATCTGTTAGATCGACAGGTTCTGAGGGTTGTTCGATTAACCCTGTCGAGATTCATTGTCCACAACGTCATCAAGAAAAGACTACTGCATATCTCATGATAGCTTTATCGGCTATGTATGAAAAGCCACGGGTGAATAACAAAGTGCACTTGATGAAAAACTTATTCAACTTAAAGATGGCGGAATGTGTGTCTGTCGCTCAGCATCTGAATGATTTCAATACCATCACAAATCTATTGTCGTCTATTGAAATTGATTTTGATGAAGAGATACGTGCACTGATATTATTGGCTTCATTGTCAAATAGCCGGAAAGCTATGAGGATGACGGTTAACAATTTTGTAGGTAAATCTAAGGTGAGATATGATGATATTCATGATTTAATTTTAGATGACGAGGTGTGTGATCCCGACTGTTTATATGCAACAGTATAACAATGACTTTGATGATCTATTTTACTTTTAATATCTTACTTTACAACAGAACCAAAAACTTGATCCTGGAGAAAATAAGAATTTAACTTTTTAATTTATATATACTGCGATACTACGTAAGTACACATATCATTATTAAGTAATATAAGACTTTTTGATTAAGACCTGAATATTGAACCCACATGGAAAAATGCAATATGTACAAACTTTCTATTTTTAAAAAGACAATTACTTAAACTATAGATATTTTCTCAATAAGTAAAATTCAATTCTTTTTGGCATTTTTGAAATTTTGACAAACAGTAAAACTTCTAAAGATAACTTGAGTTTATGTAAAACAAAAGCATTTGATATCAAAATATCTTTCTCCTTATCATGAATTAGTAATAAGTATAGGAATTCTCTTGTGGAAGTATGCGGTAAAGGGAAAAAGAGAGGGGGAGGTAGTGGGGGCTTCGATAAAGATAATGGCGGATAAGCGGGGAAGATGACTTTTATAAATGGCAAATGGAGCTTTGGAGAATGTTAGCAAGCCGGGGAGGGGCCTTAGCTTCTGATCGGTAGTACTCGGTGCATTTCCCGATGAGAACTGCTTGTTAACTTTTGGTGGTACTAATAGTTGGAAAAAACAAAATTAAAGTCCTTTAACTCTACACCCTTCAAAGTTTTTTTCTCTATTTATTTGCACTAAATCATATGAATTACATTCTCATTCATACAACCTCATGTGATTCTTTCCAATTATTGACTGAGATAATACCAGCCCGGTTCTTACATGTTCTCACAACAAATTTTAACATCTGAATAGGCCAAATCAAGAAGTAAATGAATTACATGGATTTAATCATCACAACTTCTTCAAATATTAAAGATCAATACTCTCTACAACTTTCATCTAAACTTTAATTATTTATCATTTTAAGGAGAAAGATAAAGAAAATCACTCAGAATCCATAAAGAAAACAAAACCACACTTTAGTTCAAAAGTAAAATTCATTGTCAAACTAACAAGAAGTCTCGATTAAAACCAAAAGTAGTTTAAAAATAAAAGATAAAAACTTATATTAAATCCTCCACCAAACTCTTAAAGTTCCTTTGGGTTTCTTCTCTTTTACAACACTCTTGACTCTCACATTAAAACTAAAAACAAAATGGATACAGTAAATTTGTGGTGCCTGAAAATCTCTCCAAAACTCTCTCCTTTCCAACACTTTTCAGAACTTTGAAGCACACTTTAAAAAGTCTCAACATACTTATTTTATAAATCTCCAAGAGGTGCCTTGATAACTCTTCAAAATGTGTCCCAATTCTATGTATTCACCAAAGCAAAGGATGTCGCCTTTCATAAGTCTTTTAATAATATTTTCATTTCTATGGTCATAACCACCATCTTTAGTGAATAGGTGCCTCAAAAGTCCCTTCAAAAGAAGATACTCTCCACCTCACTGCCTCTGGAGCTTAAGCGCGGCGCCGCTGGCGCTTAGGTGCTAAAACACTTTAGCACAATTTTCACCTTTTTGCTCAAAATTTGATCCTTTTTCACTCCTTTTAGCATTTTTCACCTTTTTTACTTGTACCTGAAAGAAAAACACACAAATCCCTCCCATTAAAGCGCAATATCTCAAAAATAAGTATAAAAATATTTCTAAAAATATTATATATTTTAGGTGTATCAAAATCTCCCAAACTTAAAATGTTACTTGTCCTCAAGTGACACTTCAATCTTAAAACCAAATAAGTAAGGTATGTATATGAGTTTCTTTAGGGGTCACTAAAATTTAGATTTAGAAATATAGTAGTCCAATTTAAAAAAAA